TGTTATACATGCATATATTCTCTTTTTAGATTTCTAGAATGACGATTGAATAAACTTCCGGAGTAAATATAAATTTATTTGGAGACCATTTATTCATTTGATTGAACAAGAAGGGCTACAAATATATGTGCAGAGAACAACGAAAATCCAATGTAAAAGTAATATTACGTACTATTTATTAATTATGCGTGATAGTCATTGTCAAATTGCTACTTAATTTGATTTACTACCACAGTGGATTTATTTTTCTCCGCCTAGGCCTAGGCTATATAGTCAGTAACATCGCTGATCACAGGGGCGGATCCAGGATCTGCTGCATTATTTTTTATTCCCATACAATTAGGGCAGAAATTATAGAGGGCGCTATTTAATGTCAGTTTAGTGATCGTATTATCGTAGTAGAGAAATAATTACAGCAAGCAAGACCTAAATTAATAATTACCAATTAAATGAAAGTTGTGTTGGCCTACTGAAAAATACAATACAATGTAGCTATTCATGCCTCGTGCATCCCTCGTAGCGCAAATCAATAGGCCTACTACTACTATTGCACAACATAAAAGTATGATATTTGGTTTTTTAGCATCCACTATTCTTGTACATAAATCTTCAATTTCCAACGTACGCTTATAATAGCAACTCGGACGTTGTTACCGGTGGTCTTTTCAAAAACCGAACGTCGAACTTAGATTATGTTTATGCATATTCATATTTAACAGCTCACTAAACTGACCTTAAATAGCGCCCTCTATAATTTCTGCCCTAATTGTATGGGAATGCAGCAGATCCTGGATGCGATTTTTTTTTCCCGTACGAAACATTTGCATGAAACTTCACTCGGGCCATTTCGGATTGACTCGAGTGAGTACGATACGAGGAACAAGATCAGACACTTCGCAATGTCGTGACGCTCGAGTTTTACTAAACTGTATTGCTCTTTCTATGTTTACCTACGGTAGGCCTATGAAATCTCACGGACTTATGGGATGTACGTGTGTAACTAATTGTGACCTTCTTGGATGTTATTAAACGTTAGCATATTATCTACAACAACGACAGCTAGTACCTCCTGTTATAAAGTGTAGATAGGTACAACAGTAATACCAAAGGCTAGAGAGAAAGAGGCCTAACAGGCTGAGATCTTACCTAGGCCCCTCCTTAAACTAGGCCTAGGATCATAGGCTGACACCAACATACTGACATTGACTGAAATTTTTTGGGGAAAAAATAGGACAAAATTGAAGCATGAAATAAAAAATAGAGCGCATAGAGAAATATTATTAAATAAATAATATACCATTCCCGCGTTATTGAACTTGTCCAAACTATCATTGTAATGTAATTAATGTTAAATAATAATAATAATAATAATTTCAGCATTAATTACCTTGGCCTAAGCCTTGTAAGGAAGAACCTACAGATACCGTACTATTTACTAGGCCTATAAATAATATCTTTTGTGTTATTTCCCATTAACGTCGTTTTTTTAATTGTTCTCTAATTCCTCCATTGTCTAAGTTCCCCTTAAGGTACAGGTAATAATAATAATAATTAATAATAATAATATTAATAATAATCATCTCGGCATTACATGTAATTACCTTGGTCTAGCTTTGTAATCAAGAACCTGCCGATTACTATGCCTAGTATTAATAACTAGCTCATTTTTACATTCATTTGGTGCTCTGCCATTTTGGCAGGTCTTATGGCATCCAGTATTTTAGAGCTGCCTATTCTCAGCTCTTCTCTTAATTTGAAAATAACTGTCACCCTGTTTCATTTGATGAAGAAAAACGCGCTTTTCCTTACTCTTTGTGCTTTTCCCAGAAAGGGTCTTAGTACTAGGCCTAGGTAATTATGCAAAACGAAGGCCTAACTAAAAAATTAAAATTGTCATAGTATGTAACTCAAGTTAAAATAACACATTTCATTACTCGTGCAGCTAATCAAATTATATGTCATTTAAACGACCCATTGGTATTAACATAGTAACATCAATGTATTTTTAAAAATTAGACAGCGACCAGTTCTCTCAGAAGTTGTTTTGTAGACGTTTATCTGTTGATGACCTTTGACCTCCAGAATTCTGCAATGAGATTTTCGGGTCGATTCAGCCGAGATGGCCCGAGTGGAGTTTCATGTAAATGTTTCGTACGGAAAAAAAAATCGCATCCTGCATCCCCCTGTGATCAGCGATGTTACTGACTATGTAGCCTAAGCCTAGGCGGAGAAAAATAAATCCACTGTGGTTGCAAATCAAATTAAGTAGCAATTTGACAATGACTATCACGCATAATTATTAAATAGTACGTAATATTACTTTTACATTGGATTTTCGTTGTTCTCTGCACATATTTCGATGTAAAACGATGCCTCGCATGAATCGTTGTTATACCTCGCACTTTTGGCAATGGCAAAACGATGCCTCGCGTGAATCGTCGTTTTGCCTCGCTGCCTCGCACTTTAGTACTACCCATCTTGAAGTGATGACAAACATTGCGAATCAGCGGTGCGTAACCAACAGAAATAAGATAAGCTTTTGGGCTGATTTTCTGACATCATGTTTAAAAAAATCATAACTCCATAACGGGGCGTCGTATCCAAAAAATGTTTCCAGGAAAATGTTCTTAAAAGACCAGTCTACACCACTATATGATTGAAAAAAAATTGAAACATTTTTGACCTCTGAAATCAAGATTGAAAAAGAAAAGCCTATCTTAGTAGTGTATTAAAATAGGCCAATGCATTACAGTACAGTAGCATAGGACTTTCGTGTTTTTACTGTTCCAAGTAGCGATAATATACATATTTCTCTTATTACAAAGTACTAGTTATGTTTTATAAAGAGGTATAGTATAGTAAATCATGTTTTTAACACGGGAAACTCTCATATGGTACCAATGCTAGTTCAGAGTATTACTAGTAGGGGCCTACTAAGCACTGTAATGCATATACCTATTTTAATACACTACTGAGATAGGCTTTTATTTTTCAATCTTGATTTCAGAAGTCAAAAAAAAAATTTTATTTTTTTTTCAATCATATAGTGGTGTAGACTAGTCTTTTAAGAACATTTTGCTGGAAAATTTTTTTGGATACGACGCCCCGTTATAGTGTTATGATTTTTTAAATAACATGATGTCAAAAAATCCGCCCAAAAGCTTATCTTATTTCTGTTGGTTACGCACCGCTGATTCGCAATGTTTTGTCATCACTTCAAGATGTCTACCGATTCGTGAAAAAGGCCTATTAGAAGCTAGTTATATATTCGTAGTAGATGGCGTATATATGTACATTAATTCAATTACCAATGGTGGAAATGGTAGAACGGGTCAAAAGTATTCTATCCATATAAGGAAAGTGACCAAAACATTATAATAATACAGAATTATATATTTTAAAATATTAGGGACTGTCCCTCTAATATAGTTTGAATAAGGAACTAGGAACAAGGAACCAACTTCACGGACATAAATAAGAGACTTGTGGCAAGTCTACGCAGTGAACAATATTATCCTCGATACTCTTCACAGGATAACTCCACTGAATAGAACAGGCTTGTCAGCAGATGGCTGGGGCTGTTGTCAGCAAACAAGGTCTTTATTATCTATTATTTTGGTATTTCCAGTATGCCTACATCATTTTCACACTATATCAGATCATGTGTTACTTTATTGTGTACAGTGTATTGAGGGTGGTGGCCAAGAGTGGGCGGGTCGGTCCATACAGTTAATTCTTACTAGCAGTGGGGTCTGAGCGGAGATTTCCGCCTTAACTCTGCCATAAAAGTATCCCCACGAACTCCTGGACCGTTGCTGTCTCTTATACACATCTAGATGTGTATAAGAGACAGGCGCAAGGGGGGTTGTTTTTGGTAAGGGCGTTCCCTCCCATTTGAGATTTGTTTTGGAATTAGTAAACTTAAATGGCATCTGAAACGAAGTAAGAAACTTAAAATAGAAATTGTATGTTTTACCAGAGTACACAAGAAGCACACACACAAGACGAGTGACCTTATTTTTTTTATGGTAAACGAAAGGGGGTGTGGGTGGCTATAACCACCCTATTTACCATCCCCCTAGATCTACCACTGCGAGACCCTGACCGAGGCTCTAGTATAGTCGGCCCCTTAGTTCGGATTGTCACCCCATGTGTCGGACTTGTCGGAACCTTTCAGTAAAGTTTTGGTATATGGTGTTTAGTATACAGTACAACCCCTATTAACTGGACACCTTCGGGACCAAAAAAAAATTGTACCCTTAATAGGGGTGTCCCCTGGATAGGTGTACCCCTATTTAGGGAACACTAACTAAAAACGTGAAGTTGTCCCCTTAGTAGGAGTTTTTGGCATGTTTTCTACAATAATGACATAGATTCTTTATATAATTTTATTTTAATTGACCTAAGAATGTGTTTCAGTTGAATTACAACTTATAACAAAAATTTGCAATGCCAAAAATTAATTCATTTATGGTATAAAATTAACATATTTAATTAAAACTACAAAAGTGCTATATGTTCCTGATATTGTTTCTTGATCCGTGGGCAATGTTAATGACCAAATGAGTATTCTTTATTAAAATAATGGAGCTTCCTATTGGTTGCACCGTGATAGAATACTATAAACACAGTAATTACTTAATCAGGATGCTGGCTGTACGGTATAGATTAGATTCCTGGAAACACACAAGACAAGAATTCCTCCATGGTTAATGGTCAAAATTGACAAGATTGTATTTATACGAATTAACACAAGCTCTGGGCATATATGGTACTAATGCCAATCCTAAAGATTAAGAGGGAAAAAATCTGGTTTGATGTTAAGTTTATTGCTCTAAAGATGTATATAAATTTGAATGATTTTTTAAATTATTATTTTGCGAGGCTACTGCAGTTGTTTTGATACAATATACAAAAGTATCCTTAATAGGGGTTAAATTGTGTTGATTTGACCATTTTGCACACTCAGAAAGTGTCCCCCGTTCCCTCAATAGGTGTGTCGAAAGATCCCGTAGTGAGAAAAGTGTCCCCTAAATAGGGGTGACCCCTGAAAAGGGGTATCCCAAAGGAGGGGTACTACTGTATTAAGGCCACCTCAGACAGCGTCAGCCGACGCAGCCCGACCCGATTTATCGTCGGGGACAGTCTTAAGCCGTCGTGAGAAATATTAAACATGTTTAATATTCTACGACGCGACTTCCCCCAACGCACACCATCGCGTCTGCGTTTAACTCACACAGACCCGACGTGACAACCAATCACGTCGGGCTGCGTCGTACGACGCTGTCTGAGTTGGCCTTTAGTAATAGGGAGCTAGACGCCAGAACGGAATCATTCATGCATGACCGTTGAGTCTAAAGAAGAACTTAACGTTTTCACATGCGTCCTACCGTTGTCGTGCAATCGAAAGCTCCATATTTTTATTCATAATACCTATTTTATATTTTTATTGTCTTATATACCAATAAAATGAACTGGAGCTTGATTTATGTAAAAATATATATAATTTTACCAGTTGCAAAAGTATAGTCTAGGCCTACATAGACCCACTTACTTGTTGCCTTAGCCACGAGAATCAATGCCGTAGCCAGCTATTGGGACAGTTGGGACAGTCCCACACACTTTTTCTTTGGTCCACAAAGAATGGGTCCACATTTTAAGAGTCCACATTTCTCATATTTTGTGTAAAATCGATCAAATTTTAGAAAATTTGTCATGCTCTGATATTTTACGTAAAATGGGTCAATTTTGAAGAAAATGGTTCCAGATTATTCATGTGTTTGCGTGAAATAGGTCAACCTTTAAGAAAATGGGTCCACATTTATTTAAATTTATGCGTAAAGTGGGTCTCCCCTGATATTGTCCCACACAGTTTGAAAATCCTGGTTACAGCGTCGATAAGAATATCTGGCCGTCACTTACCAAATTTTTATCAGTGTGATGGACTTCAAAAGATAGTCGCCAGAAAACTCAACATGTGATAGGGATCGTTTAGTTTTACTTTACCTTAATTCATACAAGAAAGACATTTCATTTATTTGTCTCAAACACATTAAAATTTACAAGAACAGAAACTGCAAGGAACAAGCACAAAAGAACATTAGAAAGGAATGCCCCAAATGTGAACTTAATCACTGTCGCGTGGGGGCCCTTTGACAAATAACAAATACAATATAAAATTTTACTTATAGATAAAACCGTCTAAGTTAAATACTTTTTAAAAATCAGTAATAAAGCAAGCTCTTTTTGAAACAAGCAACATTGTTTTATAAAAAAAAACAAAAAAAAAAACACATTTAAATTAACATATTTACATGAATAAAACTAACTACATTCCAAGATTTTGCCTTTACATATTCATTAATCGTTTACATAGAATGATGTTTCTGCTTCGGTCCGTAAACAATTTCGGCAGCAACTCAATGGCAACTGCATCCATACCATTAATAAGAAGGTTTGTACACTTGAAAAATGGATCCGACTGGACTCTTACCAATCCAGAGACACGAGATAAACAAGAAAAAGTGAAAACATTTGAAGAAATGCCAACCAGAAATTCAAATTTGCTGCAAACTTTTTTTGATCTAATTTACATAAAGCGAAAAGGATTTTTTTCAAGGACAGACCTACTTGTAAGTATACCAACATAGAAACAGCTCTGTAAAACAAAGCTAACAGAAATAATGCTTAAGTTTTGGAGTATCTGTGTTACTGTTATCATCATCATTATCATCATCACCATCAATATTTGTTATCATGCTGATTATGGTATAAAAACGAACGTAAATAATATGCTCTAATTATATGATGACGGTGACGATGTCGGTGATGTAATGAGGCAATGACGAAAACAACGAAGACGACGATAATAATTACAATTTCTTTCAACATAATTGCCTAAGAACCAATGCTGGGCTTTCTTCAAACAGTATAGGCCTTATGTTCGCTTACGTTAAGTTAAAATTTTCTTACCGTCTGTATAAAGCTCGTCTGCTCGAAACTGTTCCTGTCTCTTATGCGCATCTATATGTGTATAAGAGACAGGTATTACAGTATAATATTTATAAAGTATTTTGAAAATTTCCTATCATGGTAGTAGTATTTGTGTATTATTTAAAATATTATCTTAACTACAGAATGCTTACGATGACTTTTGACTTAAAACATGCTGTAATTTACAAAATCATAACATGTTATTAAAAAATATTGACTTTTCCAGTTCTTATTTTTATAAATGCTGCTTTATAATACAATATATTATACTAGTAATCCATTTATTTATTTATTTTGGTCATTTTTTTATACTGTTTAGGTCCAAGAAAATGTTGAGAAATACGGTCCAATTATGCGGAACTTGCTAGGAAATGAATTTATAGTAGAGATTGTGGATCCTAAGCTAGTAGAAAAAGTGTTCCGTGCAGAAGGAAAGTATCCAGAACGTTTTGAAATGAAACCCTGGAAAGACTACAGACTGACAAGAAACATTCCTTTAGGGTTATTTCTTCAGTAAGTGTTTATTTTACGCTAGAGGAGGTTATGTATTCACCACACAGTTTGTCTGTCTGTCCATCGGTCTGTCGTACTGTCTGCCTAGTAAACATAAACCGATCGATTCGCACATTGTGGTCAGTAAGGTAACAATGTTAGCACAGCGTTGCTGTAACGTTAACAAAGTTATTTATCACATGATATATACATGAATTGCAACGTTTGTATGCTTGTTTGTTTGTTAACAATATTTTTAAGCTACTGTTTCTATGATAATAATAATAATAATAATAAATTTTAAATTAATACCGTTAATAATAATAATAAATTTAAAATTATTACCGTTAATAATAATAATAATAATAATAATAATTAATTTAATTAAAATATTTATTTAGCCTGAACATACAAATACTGTACATAATAACATTAAATAATCTTGATGGAAAGTTTTGTTATGAGTATTACAGTATAATATTTATAAAGTATTATGTTATGTATTCACCGCACAGTTTGTTTGTCCATCTGTCTGTCGTGCTGTCTGCCTAGCAAACATAAACTGATCGATTCGCATGTTGTGGTCAGTAAGATAACGTTAGCACAGCGTTGCTGTAACGCTAAGTAAGTTATTAAAGCTATAATCAGGATTTTAAATTTCAACTGCTAGAAGTCATAAAAAAAATACTGATTTTTAAAACAGGATTTGAACCAGAAGTATGTTAACCACATATCAACCACAATGTACAATTATATATTATATTCATTTAGAAAAATGAGCCAAATTTGGTCCGCACGCAATTTAGTTTGAGTAGGCCTAGAATTTTCTTTTTATCTCAATTTATTTTTTAAATTTGAAAAATTAAGGGGCACCCCGGGCCGGATTGGTCCCCTTGAAACTGCCTCTAGTAGGAGTTACCCCACTAACATCTAAAATTAAACCCTGTAAACAGAACTACCAAAATACTCCCAAGATTGGTAGGCCCTATTATTATTAACTCTGCTAAATTTTACATAGCAGCCCAGGGGAAGTAAAAACTTTATCACAGACATGTTAAAATTGTAATCAGTGCCTGATTTTGAGACCCATGGTAGAAAAAGCTATTGTTAAATTGAGCCTATTTTGCAATACCGCGTCTGTTGGGGTTTATCGTAGAAATTTATTTTGATTGTCCTGTAAATAATGAAAATTATACAGGACTCTGTGACGCGAAGTTCAGTCTCTGTATTTTGTTCTGATCATTGTGCTTCGTCAATAGCCTTCTTTTCAAGTTATAGGCATACAGAATTAGCATTTTATCACCGACTTTGTGTCGTCTGTGTTTTGTTCTTCACTGATTCGTTAATAGCATTCTTTACTTTACATGGGTAATAAAAAGTTTGTTTTCCTAAATGCGTACTGTGTAGTCCTACATGCGGAAAACTTTTTGTATTTAAAAAAAAAAAATACGCCGAGACTCGAAGCGTATCCCGAGGTTTTTTGTATTGTGATCAAGTATTACTTTGATAGAACGACTGTGCATAGTTCGCTAACGACTGTTAACTGATGACGCGTGCACTTAGGTATTTCTAGACTTGCCACAAGTCACTTATTCTTATTATTTTTCTCATTCTGGACAGCGCCACCAACGCGAAAGTTAATTTAGAGACGGAATAAGCCTAATCCGAAAAAAAAGAAATCGAGTATGGGACGCCAATTAAATTAGGTATGGCGCGCACTAAGTGCAATAAAGAGTGAGTAACCCAAAATTAGGGCCTGGAACCCAGGCTAAGATATTTCCCGCTACCCAATTTCGTTTGTCATGACCGCTGGTGTAGACCTTGTAATTAAAAGTATAATTTACCGAAAAACTTTCAAATAACCTATCTTGGCGATGACAGATGTATAACGATTGCTTTCAACTCATTGGAGATTACCTTTGGGCAGGTTGAGATCAACTCTAAAAATAAGTTGGCCCTTCAGACAAATTAAGAACCAGGGTTGTAGGTATGGTTGTAGGTCATTAAAATAGAGTATGTTTTATGAATATTCATTAATAGGGATGGAAAGGCGTGGCACCGAAGCCGTCAAGCAATTAACAAGCGCATCATGAAGCCTGTGGAAATTACACAGTACATTCCAGCCATGAAAAGTGTAACAGATGACACGATTGCACGTTTGAGGAGAATTCAAATAAAGGAGGGAGACAAAAAAGACCTTATTCCAGACCTTGAAGGGGAGCTTTTCAAGTGGTCCATGGAAGGTAAGTAACAGAGTTAAACCCTATCCAATAGAGTATCACAATTTAAAACTTGTTGAACTGACATGTGTTCTCCATAAGGTATTCGGATCATGAAGGTATACAGATATAAAAGATTTTTAAAAAAATCAATTTGAATTCAAATGCTAAGCCAATATCTACACGAATTACCTCCACAATGCTGATAGGCTCACTTTAAGAGCTTCAAGAACCCTCTATGAATCTGAGCGGTTGTCATTTCATCACATCTGCTTGTTCAGGAAAATTATGCTCTCATTGCATGGCCAATTCAATTTATTGAAAACACTGTTCATGCAGTGCAACTTGTACAAAACCATAAGAAAAGAAATATAGAGAAAATAATACATGAAATAAAATAAAAGATAACTTGAGATTACAAAATACAAAGTGATATTCAAAGGTATTCTCAGAAAAAAAAAACCATCCAGTAAATAATTAATTTAAGGTGTATTGAGCCATTAGCAGCTATTTCCAGTAGTGATGGCGTAAAATCAGCACAATCAGAATATAAAATCTCTTCAAATCCCACACAAGTTGATCTTGCCATAAGCCGACCCCTCAGTCAGTTGAAATTAAGGGTTTGACATTATGCATTAAGTATTTTTAAAGATTACTAACACTTCACTTTCATAATTGTTGCAATTTTCAGGTTTTAAAAAATTGATAAATTCCAATTGATGTTGGGCTTATGCATGGGCGTTGATCGGTTGGGGACAGAGGGGATACACCCCCCTCCCCCACTTTTGAAAGTAGGGACCATCATATCAATTGTCCGCCCACTTTTTACCAATATTTTTATGGGCGTAACGGTTTGCAGAGGCAAAATTTATTGTGAAAACATTGTACTGTACGTTATTAAAATTGGATGCGTGTAAACCCTGCCTCTTATACACATCTAGATGTGTATAAGAGACAGGTGTAGTCCTACATGCGGAAAACGTTTTGTATTTAAAAAAAAAAAATACGCCGAGACTTGAAGCGTATCCCGAGGTTTTTTGTATTGTGATCAAGTATTACTTTGATAGAACGACTGAGCATAGTTTGCTAACGACTGTTAACTGATGACGCGTGCACTTAGGTATTTCTAGACTTGCCACAAGTCATTTATTCGTATTATTTTTCTCATTCTGGACAGCGCCACCAACGCGAAAGTTAATTTAGCTGTCTCTTATACACATCTAGATGTGTATAAGAGACAGGTACTAACCTGTACTGAACGATTATTAGGATGCACTGTCATTGCTTTGAGGATAACAGTAGGTCCATCACTTTCCATCACCACCTTGCAGTGACCCGTGTTCCTGAGAACAACAGCACTTAATGCTGCACACCCCAGTGCACACACCTCAAAAAAAGAAAATAATTAAGCTTGCTTTCACAAATCGTACGGTACCAATGGAATATGCCCGTCAAAGTTTGTCAATTTCACAGAGAGCATATTCGGCCGTGGTTATGTCTACTCCGAAGTGATGGAACCAACGCGCTCATTAACAACTTGACGTAACATCGGAGTAGATGAAGCCACTGTGTTAAAATTAATATTAAACTTTAAATCAATTTAAAAAACAAAATGAATTAAAAAAAAAATCTATTGAAGGTGGTTAATGCCATTGGGCCAAAAAAAAAAAAAAAAAAAAAATTTTTTTGTTGGGGGGGGGGGGGGGGGCCCAAGCCCCCCCCCCCCCCCACACCTAAATTTTTTTAATTAAAAAAAAAAATGAGAAAAAATGTTCTTACCACAACCATGTTTGGGCTCAGGTGGTCTACGCTCCATCTGTAAAATCCCCTCGCTAACCCCCTCAATTTCGAATTCCAAGGATCCATCACTGTATTTTGAATATGTAGTGTGGAAATAAATGTTAATTGCATTCCTTATCAAATAGATACTACTTTAAAAAGGCTGTAGACGCCAGAGCTTCAGGGGGATTCGCCCTCTGGACTGCTTTAATGTACAATTCGTCACCATCCCACCCCCTCCCCCCGTCACTTTCAACAACGGATCGACGCCAATGTCACACTTTGAAGACATAATAGTTTATACTGGTTATGCATGATTCAGTTGAATTGAAGAGCAACCTTAGTACTCTCATCGTGCTTATTCTTTAACCGATTAAAACGTTAAAATTAGAAATCGATTTGCATAGTGGTAATTTAATACCGTTGTCATAAAATGCTTCATTTCATAATGCAAAATGCTTCTTGCCATTTTGAAAAAAAAGGCAGGTCGACATCACTCTACCTAATTTGTTAGATTCTCTTCTATTCTGTGCAGGAGTTACAAAAGTTCTCTTGGATCATCGCCTTGGTCTACTGTCTGACAAGATTGATAAGCAATCACAGAGTTTCATTGATGCCATTCAAGAAGTCTTTAGAACAACATTTGAGCTGTTGTTATTTACTAATCTCCACAAACGCTTCAATACAAAATTGTGGCAGCGACATGTTGCAGGTTGGGATACTATTATTATAGTCAGTAAGTAACTGGTACGAAAAATCTGAAAATTAAGAGTTGATAGCTGATATTTAGTTATTAATAGCTGATGTTCAGAATGTGGGAGGTAATGTCTCCACTCCAAGCAATTAAATTGTATACTGAAATATGGTGTTGAGTTCTCGTAAACTAGCAATAAAGACAATGAATACAACAGTATAACTCATAGAACAGAATTGTATTCTTTCCTTGTGGTTCTCTCTCAGTGGCAATTCCTGCCCTCAACGTCGGTATTGTCACACAGGACAATAGTAAGAACACCACATTTCCCCTCTTAAAAGCAGAAACTATAATCACAGTAAAAATGAGTGTATACCATATACGGTACAATGTAAACTCAGTTACTATAACAATAAACACTTCCATTTCTTACTGGTACTGTACCCATAACATAGTCACGAGTCCATCTAGGTGGATTTCTAACTCTCTTACTCCTTGAGAAACGTGAACCTAACTGAGTTGAATTGTTGTTCATTGAATCATCAGCAGTTGGAAAAACTATAAAGTCACTACTGTGATCACCACGACTATCTCCCCCTCAGCCTAATAGGGTTGGCTTTCCTAGAAATGGAGCTATGTGTTTCACATTTCATTTTTGACCATTGGTCATTACGCAAGTGTTTAGACCAATATGTTGTCTAATTTCCACCGGTTCAATAAATTTACTCTCACCCTTGTGGACATTCCAAACTGGACGTTTATCGATTCGCGCCGTTTGAAAATAAAAAATCCGGTTAAAGCGCTCGACAGTACTGTTTCCTTCTTGGCGATACAGTACACCGCAGAAAATCTGTGTTTGATGTTACGTTTTTGCAAGAAAGTTTCAAACTCCTGGCTAGTTAACTGCGTACCATTATCAGAAACTAGTTCTTCAGGATAACCTTCACGACTGAATACCTTAGTCAAAAAATAAATTACAGTTTTGGCCGTAATATTTGGGCATTTACTTCGCTAATCGATTAATGAGATAATGTAACGCTCGTTCGCAGGTGCAGAATAATTTGGACCTACGAAATCAATCCCGAGCTTTTGCCATGGTCGTTCTGGCAATTGTACCGGCTGCATAGGAGCCACTCGTGTTTTCGCAGACTTGTTAGCAATTTGGCAATTAAACAATTAGTAATTGTGTCAGTTATGTGTATGTCCATTTTAGGCCACCAGTAAAAATCTCTTAATCTTTAGTTCGCACAATACCTTGATGATTTTCATGGGCCAGATTAACTAATTTGGAGGTAAGTGCTGCTGGTATTATCACGCGTTGACCACGAAAAATGATATCATTATGAATCGAGAACTCATCTCTAATACGGGAATAGGGCTTAATGATTTCTGGAATATGCTTTTTATCATTCGGCCACCCATTATGTATGTATTCTTTAAGCTGCATGCATACTTCATCATTATTTGTAGCCTGTTCTAATTCAATGCGTATGATAGCGCTATAAAATAAGTATTGTTTAGAACAACTTGACAGACTGCATCACTGTCATCTTCATTTATCGCGGAATCGAGTGTAGGAATAGGTAACCTCGAAAGGGAATCTGCAATTCTGTTCTGAATGCCTGGTTTAAATTGTACTCAACCGTATAATTGTAATGTAGTAAACAAGCGTTCCATCTTGCGATCCGCATTGGTCTACGACCTGTTCCTTTTGAAGAAAGTAATGTAACCAATGCCTGATGATCAGTACAAAGGGTAAAATGTCTCCCCCATAAATAAGTATGCCATTTTTCTATAGCCCAAACACAAGCAAGTGCTTGTGTTTGGGTGCAGTTAATGTTCGAGACGCGCAAGCAATTGTTTCCGAGCCGTCACTCTTTACCTGTGTAAGTACCGCTCCTAACCCATAACCACTCGCATCATGTTGTGACAAAAACTTTGAGATCAGGCAAGAATAGAGCAAGACCAGGGCTATTAATAATATCGGACTTAATATCCTGAAAAGCGGAATTTGCTTTGTCAGTCCATATGGTTCAATGGATTGTACTAGGCTTAGATTTGTATTTCACCTCAGAGCATGTAGGAGTATCACTATCATCACCTTCGCCCATAGACTTGGCCTCTTTCATCGCAGTTTCACACTGCCTTGCTAGTTTTATGGCCTTGTCCAGCTTGACATCGGTTTCTGTAAGTAATCTAGTTCGTATTTTGGAACTACTGTATTAGTCTTCTCTACAAGTTGATCTCGTAGCATTTCGTCCTCAAACGTACCAAATTCGCACCGTGAAGCCAGTTCGCGGAGCGCTGCATTTCGTGCGGGAGTTGTGCACGCTGACGAAATCTATATCTCTCAGCCACCACACTAACCTTTGGTGCAAAATGACTCTGCAATGTTGTCATTGCCTTTGTAAAAATATCGTCACCTGCTTCTCCTAGTTCTGGTAACATGTAAAAAATTCGTTGGCCTTCCGGACCTAGCGAGTGTAAAAGTATAGCTCTTCTACGCTCCGGCGATTCCTTCACTGTATTCGAAGCGAGTAGGTAATTCTCGAATAATCGCCTCCACTGCAACCACACGGTATGACGAATTCGATCCAACTCGGCCACAAGTCAACTCGGCCACAGTCAACTCGGCCACAAGTCAACTCGGCCACAAAAAGTTTGGCTACAGTCAACTCGGCCACAAGTCAACTCGGCCACAAATCAACTCGGCTACAAGTCATTTACTGGTACTACATTGTACTAATTGTTATTATTATTGCTGTTATTATTGTTGTCATAGTTGTTATTATTATTGTTGTTTTTATTACCGTTAGTTT